GTAGTACTCTCATATGCATATGTTAAAGTGTATTGTATATGAATTTTAAAGTAATGCGAATTTCTCTAATGAACCATCGCAAACTTTTGTGGGTTATGTGCAAATATGTACTGTGTAAGTACTATGAGTACATAGATCATTCGAGTTTCTCACATTACCTACTTATTAGTAGAAATAACATTTTCAACTGACTTTATTGATTGTTTTGCTTTGACAAATAAAAAATTTATATGGAATTTTATGTATCTCTCACCTATGACTGAGTTCATAAAATTTGTTTTGAAAAAGTGTAATAATCGTAATTGAATGTATTCGAATTGATGGGCCGCAATTTGAGTTGAATTTGCTGAATGCTATTCACGCCGATGGCTGAGCTTAAGTATTATCATACCTCCAATAATTTAAAAAATCATTTTAACGTATTTCAAAATTTTCTAAAATTTTCATCTTAAACAGTGTCGTATAATAAAATCATAATTTTAGTCAAATTATTAAAAAACTGCAGTAAGGACAAAAATTGCCTATAAAAATTAAAATTTTGATTTATAAATAATAACTTACAGCTTAATTGAAGCCTTGAACTGAATTACAGTGTGTAGATTTATCTTATGCTTTATGTAACATTCTCCCATATGTATGTGGATTTATTATAATTATTTTACATTATTTACATATATGATACCCATTATTTTCATAATGATAATAGTAATGAAATATTGCTATTGTAGAGGTTTATTGTTATAAGAAAAGATAAGGAAAACTTGTTTTCCTGACGTAAGTTTTTATTACGTATGAAAATCAAAAAAAAAAATTTATTATATGATGAGAAAAGATAAATGAATGAAAATCAATCTTATAAAATTGAAGAATGCTTTCTGGACTTTTTTTTTAATAAAACAAAAAAACAAATGTTTTAGATTGATGCTATTAGAAAAAACATTATTGCTTGTTTTAATAAAAGTAAGATTTTTTTCGATAAAAAAGAATTTGTTATACAATTACATTATGAACATGTAAGACATATGAGATGATTTTATTTTATATTATTGAATGAAATGCAATTTAGTTAAATCCAAGTGAAATAAAACTAAAATCTGATATACAAATATATGTACATTCTTCTTCAATGAGGAAGTATTGTAAATGAATTTAAATAATGAAAATTTGAAATATTTAAGTTCTTTTTGAGGTATCCAGACGAAATATTGATTATTTCATTAAATGATTGTATTAAACACTTTTTCTTCTGTTCAGAAAACTGCGTTTTATTCGAATTTCGGAATTAATTCTCCGAAAATTAAAAAAAGAAGAATTTCGGAATTAATTTTTCTATTAATTTACAAATTTAGTGCCTACCGAACAATTTTTCTAGAAAAATTTAAATTTTAAAATCATAATAATCTCACAGTTGTGTATATTTTAAGAAATTGTTAATTATGAAATTTTAAATGCAGCCATTTCTCTTTCATTTACTTAATTGTGCTCCTTTATATTTCCGGTTCCATTAATTAATTTAATAAATGAACATTTTTGTCACCAAAAGCATTAAAGACTTTGTATTTGTAAAAATTTCTCTTAAACAAAGTAATAATCAAATAAAAAAAATTCATGATATAATTATGTAGGAGTAATATTAAAAAGGATTATAATTATTCATAACGCCATGTATATAGTTGGGCATTCAATTGTATAATTCATTACATACTGTTCAATAGAGGGATAAAATGCTTAATTAAATTTTTAAATAAATAAATTTTCATTAATATATTATTATTATTATAATTGGAATTAATTGCAATTCAAATAGATTCATGCTTATCCAATTAAATTTCATATATTATAATTATTATTGAAACATTTTAATTTGTACATGTCTATGGATTTTACATAATAATTTGACACACCTTATAAAATTGTTATATTGGTATAAAATGTACAAGTTGCATATTTATTTTAATTATAGAGTACAATGAAATAATTAATTAATATCCTTTTTTTCAAAAGTAATTGTATACATTTTTATAAATGCTTATTTAAGCAAAAAAATAAATGGCATTTCGTAGAAAAGAAAATTTATGAACGCAACTGCTGTTATCAACTATACTCGACTAGTAGAGCTAGTATTTAAAACATAATTTTAAAATTGAAGATTTTATTAAATAAGCGTATTAAATTAGTAAGAAAGATATTAAATATTGTGAAAAAAATTTAATGGCACTGCCACTGACGTAACGGTGAAAGTCTATACAGTTCAGTCAGTGTGCTTCACATAGTGGCAGGAACCAGATGTTTTTTTAGAGAGAAAAAGCCTCATAAAATTTTGTCAATCAATTATCAATAATATCAAAGGAATCCGTACTTTTAAGATGAAATATTTTTAATACCCGTATTTTCAATTATGGGTTTAATACGTAAAAATTTAATTGGTGTAAAAGTTCATTCATGATCTGAAAAAGATGAGAATTTAATCTCGATAATAATGAATAATGAATGTTTTGCAAATTCGTATATCAGTTCAATTTAATATTAATAAAATATCGAACGATAAGTCGAATTTTTCAAAAATTTTTCGGTTTATTTAATTATCCTTTGTTATTCTTGTGTTACGGAGGACTTTCTTGCGGTCACAACGATTTTAATTGCGGATTTCGAATGTTACAACACATATTTCATTTTTTTTTGGAGTACAAGACTATTGATTTCACTATATGGCATTTTTGCACCTATACCCAATTAAATGTTCCAGGAAAGAGTTGATTCATCCAGGAAAGCTTCTCTTACAAAAGCAAACAAATTTTAATTTTTTGTTAAATAGTTTGACTCATGAGTGAAGTGTTGAATGAAATTTTGAATAAGAAATAAAAATTGAATTTTATGAGAAAGAAAAAGTATTTTGTTCTTCCCAACTTTTAGTAGTAACTTTGTCAATTTGAGAATAGCATGTATTTAAATTAATTTTTAAAAAAAATTCGACGGCAATAACATATAATATTTTTAAAAGATTTTCAAAAAAAATTTTAAATCTAGAAAAAAAAAATATTTTTTTTTGTTTTATTTTAATAGTTTACAATTTACGTATAAAAAAGCGAGTTTTATTAAAATATCAAAAAATTCTGTTTTGTTTTTTTAATTTTTTTTTATCACAATTATTCACAAATATAATTAAACTGCTATTAAAAAATTTTATTTTTTTTTTCATACTTATAATAAAATTTTTGTTTTTTTTTTTTTATATATACAGAGTTTTTAATTTAAAGATTTACACAAAAGTTAAACATTGTTGTTCAATTCAATTTAAAAAAATCTTAAGGGAAAGCAGAAAAAACTTCTATTATAAACCAAATCCATCCCACGAATATTTTATTCTGAAAGCTTCAGGATCAAGTTGTTTCAGACTGTAGTGATAATTTTTTTTCCAATTTCCTATGACATATGTTCTATCATTAATAAATAGTATTAGTACTCTCAAAGGCAATCAATAGCCGTAAACTACAATTTAACAGTCCGAATTAATTTGACTTTTCTGTTAGAAATCGGGTCAATTTCAGACAAGATTTAATTAAATTGAAATAACAAAATTTTGTTTAATCTTATGCATATTTTTGTATATGTACAAACTTATATAAATATATATAGAGTGATTCACCAAAAAGTTAGAATCCGTATACCAAGGGATAGCTTGTCGAAAATATGTAAAATTTTTGCTCGGAACATAGTGTTAAATCGGAACCGTTTCCGAGCTTGGACAGGGATTTTTAAGAAAATTTGACGAAATTTTCAAAAATTTGGTATGAAGCGTTTTTGCCAATAACTTCCGTTCCAAAAAAGAAAGAAGTTTCAAATTCATAATTTTTGAAAGAATTTTAAGAGGGCTTTAAATAAATAGCAATAGGTTTTTTGATTGAACACGTTTTTCGGAAATACAAGCATTCGAACTTTAGGAAAATTCAAATTTTCCTCATCTCTCATTTTTCCCCCTTATTTTGTCCCGGCAATTTCTCATGCATTTTTTTAAAACTTTCAAAATCCTCTTATCAGAATTTTGCCCAGCTGCCTAAAGTCATTTCCGACCCTCTATCCGACGGCATAGGCCTCCTAACTTATTGGTGAATCAACTTGTATATAGTTTTAAATTTGATAGTTTTTCTTCTTATAATCCTTAATAATTATAATATACATTTAATTAAAAATTATTAATTTTTCTTTCTTTTGTAAATTTATTAAATTTAAAATATAAATTCTATTTTGCTCTTTTCCCTAAATTAAATATAATATTTACAATGCCTCATCTGTAAGAATTATATTATCATCGGTATTCAAATTATTATCACTAAAATTATCATTATTATTTAATTTGTTATTATTATTTAATATACTAGTAGTCATTGTTGTATTTGTAGTTGTAGTAGTAGTTAATGTTGTTGTTACACAACCATTTTTAATATTATCAATTTTATATGTATTACAATTACTACTATTTGGTAAATCATTTATATTATCAATAATATGATTATCAATACATGATGATGTTGTTGTTGTTATACTATTATTTGATGTTGTTATTAAATTATCAGCAATTGTTGTTGTTAATGTTGTTGCTGCTGTTGTTGTTGTTACTGTTGATATTACTACATTATTTGATATTAATAAATTATCTGTTATTTCTGGTCGTTTTTCAGCTGATTCAACTAATGAAATTTCTTCAATTATTAATGGTTGATGATGTTGTAAATGTTCCATTTCTGAATCTTCTTCGTTGTGATGATGATGATGATGATGAAGATGATGATGAAATTTTGAATTATCAATTGTTTTACGTCTTAAAAGCATTCTTGCACCATTTATAAATGTTTGCTTTTTACCAAATTGTTTCGATGTAAAATTATTAGAACCACTATTAATATTACAACTACCAATATTACTGTTACCACTGTTACTGTTATTATTATTTCGTCCAACAAAATTATTAGAAGCACCACTAATACTATGACAACGTTTTGATAATGAAAGTTTATGACGGCTGAATTTACGGCCAGAAAAATCGTTTAGTCAAACTTTCTCTTCGCCAGGCATTGGTGGTCCACAACGTACAAACTGTAAATCGAAACGAGGCTAATTTTTCAAAAATTTTCTTTTTTTTTTTTGTATTTTTTGTTTTTATATTTTTGTTTTAATTTTCTGCTTGTATTTTTTTGAAGTAAGAAAGTAATAAGTTAAAAAAAAAAAAAGAAAATGAAAAATAAGAAAAGTTTGTTTTGTTATGATGTTTTTTTTTTATATAATTTTTTTTTTGTTATTGTTATGCTATAATTATTATTTTGCTTTTATATGCTGTAAAGGATATGAATGTAAAAGGGAGAAGTTTCAAGGAAGAAGTTTTTTTTTATTATGGTGGAATAAAAATGTATAGAAAACATAGAAAAGAATATGATCAATAAATGTTAAAAGTATGAAAAGAAAGAAAAAAAATTAATATAAGAAATAAGATAATGGAAAGGAAATAAAACGATTTGTTTAAGGTTAAGAAAAATATTTAATATGTAACAGATTACAATAAGGATAAAAGAGAATATATAATTTTTGGTACAATAGATTAATAGTATATAGTAGGAGTAATCAGTAGCAGATTCATTTTCATATTTCTCTTAGAATTTAAGTTCCAAGAAGAATATTATGTTCGAAGTGATGAATTTCTATATTATTTCTATAAATGGAATACTTCTTTAGTATAGATTCTAATTATTAATTTTTAACAATAACCTAAAGGTACTCGTATAATGGTTATTGAATATTGTATTCTAATTCTATATAATGTTATAATAACGAACTCTGTTATAATATTAAATATTTTTTTGTAATTTTTGAGTGAAATTGAGAGATTGAGCTACAATATTCTTAGTTTTGTTTTCTTTTTTAATTTAAGAACAAAAAATATTCGTATAACAAGTAAAATTAACAATGAAAAAATCTCAAGTAATAGCACTTAGTGTGTTCCGATTAAAAATTGCTAACATTTTGATTTAGATTTTTAGAAAATAGGATTTAGAATTTTAAAGGAAAAAAAATTAGAAAATAGGTTAAGAATCATGAACTTTATTAAAAATAAAATTTTATGGTGAGGCTCGAATTGAAAGCGTGTATGTTACAAGTATTTTTGTAAATAAAAGGTGAATAAAAAGCGTAAAAATATAGGGAGAAAATCAAGAATACATGGTAGGAAAGACGTTATTCTGCAAATTACAATTATCTTCATATCGAATAAGGTGAAAACATTGAGGAAATCTGAAAATCATTCTTAGGTTAATATTTAAATAAAATTACCTAATATTTATTTTAGGTTTTATATTATGCATAAATATTAAAATTTGTATTTGTTTATACCATTATAATTCTTTGTATATTATTATCATACTGATAAATAAAACCGTATGCTATTACATTAGTTGAGAAGGGAAAACGTAATATGAAAAATAGGATATGGAAATCTATATGGCACAAAAAGTGTGAATAATGATAATGTTTTAACATACTATCAGTTAAAAAGAATCCAAAAAAACAAAAAAAAAAAACAGGAAAAATATTCACAATAATATAAAAATATACAAAATAATAATAATAATAAAAATATTATAAATGATATTAATATAATGGTTATTAATAAGAGTTGTATAGTAGCAGGAATATTAAAATGTTTCCGAATTATATAAATGTATGTTATGCAATAATAATAATAATAATATTATGTACAATAGAGGAGTGCAAATATTATGAAAAGAAAAATGTACTTAATAGAAATTATATAACAAAATAATGTAATCTTTATTAATGTAAAGGGTGGACCAACTATAATTTACTACTTGGATTAATAAGAAGTTGTAACATATATACGGATGTACATATGTGTCGTATTATTTTAAACCGGAATCAATTGTTCAAAAAATTCACATAGTATCCCGAAAAGAATTTATGACTGGATTGAAAATATTTAATTGAACTTAAATTTGATACCATAATGAAATTTTTAGAGACGAAGATGGAAACAAGTTGAATATAAGCCTCTTTAAAAAAATCATTAGAATAAAACTGAAATGAAAACAGACTTCTTCTGCAATTTGAAGAAGTTGTTTTTATATGACGTACATATTATTATGATCATTTGTCGATGCTGTTGCAAAATCGTTATTAATTTACTATGGTAAGCTTGGGTGGCAGCAAACAATCCTTTTCTAATGCGACATTTCAAATTTTTGAAACAATTATAGCGTGAAACTTTGTTTCGACCATTTTTATAGTTGTTCCGTTTATATTTGTTAGCGTCTGTTTTGTTTTAAATTGAAATCATGATATTTTGGTTGCCTATTTTTTTTCAATTGAACTTCAATTGAAGATCAAAAATTTTAGATATTTGGGCTAATCTATTTGGCAACACTGATGCTACCATTAAATTTTTGTTTCGAAAAGTGCGATTCATGATAAGATACCATTATGTGCCACAATAAGAAGTGCCTTCTTACATTGAGAAATGATATAATATTTCTCATAAATAGTGGAACAAGTTACCAATTTAAATAAATTTATGGTATAAAATCAGTGAATTTTTCAGTTTTAAATTTTTAAAAAAAATAAAATTATAAATGGTCCACACCTATTTTATGATGTTATATATACAAATATGTGTATGTGTATATGTGATCTGTATGATAAATGTAATTATAGTATAGTATTGCAGAAATAGATATTTAACGCTTATAAAATAGAATATAAAAAATATAAAAGATTTTTGCTTTGCGGAAATTGTTAAAATAAAATTTTCAATTTGTTATTTTTTTTCTATAAAATTTGTTTTTCAAGCTCTTTCTTGTGTTTTAACATTTTATTAAATAGTTTTACTAATAAATTTTCAATTTTTTTCAAAATATTTAAAGAAAATAATTTGTTAGCTCTTTAATAAAATTTAATTTTATATAGTTTTTACTTTATACAATATGTACAAGAAGGAAAAGAACTTCTTACATTAATATTATTAAAAAAAGTAAGTGTACATTAAAAATGTTTATTAAAAAATTTTATACAACAGTGAAAAAAATTTTTCAAAATGCACAATACATAAATAAGTAAAAGGAAATAGAAAATAAATAAAAAAATTAAATATTAAAATTTTCATATAGTTATTTTAGGAAATTTTAATAGGAACCACAATTATATAAGTATACAAGTAGAAAAAAACGTAAGTTTAATTTTTTTTTGTATTTAAAAATTAATGTTGCTTTGCTTTAATAAAAATTTTTTTTTTAATTATATTATTTACAAAGAATTAGTTTTTATATAGTTAATTTGAGAGTATTAATAAAATTATATAGTGTTATAACAATTTACTACTTATACGAGTATTTTAATTGTTAGGCATATTTAAAATTTTAATAATAACATATAAGCTTATTTAAATTTAAATTACGCTTTAAAGATTCAATAAATAAAATTTAATTAAGTCAATTTTTAGTAAGTTTGGAAATTCGTCTTAAAACCCTTTATTAACTCGACATTAATTCTCTTTTTTGAATCCGTTTCAAAACATGTGGCTATAGCCAGGCATTAATGTTCGCAGTAACTGTCAGAATAGTGCACATTTTATATTAATACAGCTCATGATGAGTCGATGAAATATTCAAGCTCATGAAAATTTATAATGTACTTAAAAACGTTCTGTTTTTTGGGTATTTCGCACCTATACAATTATCGCATCTATACAATAATCGCATCTACAAAACAACATTTGAGCTGGTTTTTTTGAAAGTCGTATAAGTCCATTTTTTCATATATTGACATATTTAAGGTTTTGTATTTGAATCAATTTAAAAATATTGAGCATAATAACATATTTTGTTTGTTTTATGTCTAAGTAGAACTCTATTTAAATTGTGATTGTAACTGTGAGAAGGTTTCTATAGCTCATCAAAATCACCATTAACTAAGTCTTTTTAAAAAGTGGATTTATACTACTTTCAAAAAACCAGTTCATTTTAAAAGTGCCACATTTCGATATTTTTAAGCTAAAAAGTTTTAATATTTAGATGATGCAATAAAACTGTTATATTTTGAAATTAGGATGGCTTCTTCTTGAAGTCATAGTTGTTATACTATGATCATTGCAAATTTTGTATTTATATTAACGAAGTAAATTACTCATTAAAAGTATTTGAAAAAGTTAACAAATCTTACTATCTACATACGTATATCGGAAATCATTTGATATTTAATGAATATAAAAAGCTCATTTCCCATTACCATTAACTTGTTTTAAACATTATTTCGTATACTATTGTATTCTGTGAACACCGCATAGTATGTATTATTAAAAAATTTTAAATTTAAAGCAGAATTTATTCACAAAAATTAAATTTTCTTTTTGAAATTAATTATCCCCAAATTATGCCATTAAATATTGAAGCAAAAATGACTCTACGTTCATGTATGCACATACATATATGCACATTATTGATTGACAAATTTATTTACTTGAACATATTCTGTAGTATGATTGTGTAGAACATGGTTTCAATAAGCTATTATAATGGAATTATAAAGAAGTGGAGAGCAAAATGATGTGAACAGAATGATGCATTTGACATTTCCGAGAAATAAATATTTTTTTATACAAATTGAGTATTGACTTTAATTGGCAACATTTTGAAATTGACGTAATGAATTGACAATAATAGCAAAAAGATTGTTTATGAAAAAAAACTTGTCAATTATTGAACTTTTTGCAGTCACATTTATGTAGCATTTAAATTTTTTGACAATGAGATCAATATTATTATTGAAATAATGTCTTTTAAATAAATCTTATTGAAGATTCGTCAAAATGAGTTTGTTATACGCAATTTCACTATTATATTGCTATTTTACATTTTGTCATACGTTATACACCGCTTCATATAATACTCTCAAATTGGAGTATTAAGCTTTTAAAATGTTATTTTTAGGTACCCTTAAAATGAAAGCTGTCTGTAATTTGATGTTACAATATAGTTTTGCAAATAAATCGAGTAGGTTCTTTCGAAAATTTTCTTTTAAATCAGAAATTTAGTTAAAAAATTATTAACAATACCCAATGATTTAATGTTCTTTGTGCTGATTGCGTTAAGCTTGAAATTAAATTAAATAAGAATCCTTATAGTGATTATTTCTATATCTGTACTATATATGAAGTAATAAATACCTTGGTATTTAATGTTAGTAGAAGCATGTCCAATTTTTGATATAACAGTAATTTTACTCATGAGTGAAGTAGAAAAATAAAGTATTTTATGCTACAATAATTTTGACATCAGTTCTACAATCTTAATTTATTGGATTATTGAAACTTAATTATTATATTATATTAGCTATAAAAACATTATAATATCGAATTCTTGTTACCTACTCATAATAAAAATGTTTAAAATAATATTGAAATGACAAAGAAATTCTTGAACGTAATCAATAAATTTAAATACTGGATCGAGTAAGAGAGTTGTTGATTATCGTATTAAATTTCACTATAGTCGAGTTTTCAAAAAAGGAGTGATAACTGTAAAGAAATAACTTTCTCACTGAAAGAAAGTCCGTATCGATGCCTGTTGGTCTTTTTGTGCACTTTCACCTCTTAATTTTAAGGTAACCGATTTTGATGAAATTTGCCTTGCAAATAAGCTTTGTGCAACCGATGAATTAATCAAATTTGTACGGAAATCCAATTCCATTTATTATGGGGAATGTAATTTGTATTTTGGACCATATCCAAACAATAATGAACATTTACGTACATCATATTTCTTATATTCTAAAAGAGGAAACCAATCGATGTTTTGTTCTCGTATGTTCTGTTCACAACAAAATTATTTTAGTTATAATATTTTGCATATAAATTAAATAAAGTGAAAGGAACTAAAAAGGATTAAATTAAAATTTGTCGTCTGTTCTTTGTTAAAAAAGAAAAGCAAAAATTAATTTCATTCTATTGCTTGTAAAAGATGTTAAAAAAGAAAATAGTTTTGCAAGTGTAACAAGATTTCAATATTTGATTATTTTTTAATTTATTTTTCTGTTTTCAATAATCCGGTTATTGATAAGCTGATTATTAGATGCAATCTTTGGAAAACATAACATATTTTCAATAAACCTTTCTATTCAATAAACTGAAACTACAAATGAATAACATGTAAAATAATTGGTAATATGAGTGGATGATTATAATTGTAGACGTAGGAAATAAAAAAAGTTCTGATAATTCAGAAATTTTAAAAGAAAATTTTTTGAAATTGTTTAGCTTTATTAAAATAATAATTAAAGCTTCTGGTTCTGATCGAATTTATGACAGAGAAACTGAGATTTTCACAGCTTTTAGTAATTTTGTAATATTATTGGAAGCGCATTACTTAAAGTGTGTTAGAAGCATTTGAATTAGATTTTAGTAGTCAATAAATTGTGCAGTTGTAATTTCTTTTAAGAATCTTTTGTAATTTCAAAGCAAAATTCACATATCGTCGGCAAAACTGTGATACCTCGTAAGTGCAAATATTTCCAAAAGTACTTTATCAATTTTCTGTTTATGAAATCTCAAACAGTCAATCTTTAAAATTTACGAAACAGTAAAAACTAATAAATAATTACATATTCTTTAAATAATTTTCATATTTTCATAAATTTAAAAGATGGATTGTTTGACATTTCCTAAACAGAAAATTGGTAAAGTACTTTTGGAAATATTAGCACTTACATGGTATCACAGTTTTGCCGACGATATACTTTTGTATTTTATTGCATATTTTTTGGAGCGTGCCAGGAAAGAATTAATAATTCTATAGAATTAATTCTATAATATTTTTTAATCATATACAAATTTGGTAATAATCAATTTTTGTCATAATAATTTTCAATTCAAATTTTTAGTTTAATTAATAAAAGCTCGCACACAACCAGTTATTATTATAATTGTGTTGTTAGTATATATAGCCCCAAAGAGAACACACATTATCTATAGCATTTTTTTTGTTTACCCAAACCACTTACCTCTCTATATATGTATATATATTATTAAGAAGGACAATGAAATTCCTTTTGGAAAATATTACTTTTGAAGATTATAAAATTGAATTTTCTTATTTATGAAACTATTATAATAATTTAGGTTTAGAATAGTACTTGTAAAAATTCTAAAAGTTTCTAAAAATTCTATAATGTCGTATCTTTTACATCATCTATTTGTAGACATGCTGCGTGTGTTACTGGAGTTGAAATATCTATATGAGTTGTTGCCGTACTATGATTATTATCTTTACTTTTTATAAAATAATGATCCTGCATAGTTAGCATTCGATTATAAATTCTCTGAAAATATTATTATTTATTTTATTTATATATTTTATTTATATATAATATACAATATTGTTTTTGAAAATATTTTTAATTTAAAATTTGTGGCATTAGGTGCAGATAAGTGAGGATAATATGAGATTAGTATTTTATTTAATATTAATGGGAAAATATTTTACATTCAATATAAATTTAGTTTGGTATATATACAAGTATATAAAAGCAAAGCAACATTTTATAACATTAATAAATATTATTTACATTCAAAAACTTTTTATAAAATTAACAAAATTTCATATTTTGAAAAAAAATTATATTAATTATTGAGAAATGTATTGCAAAATTTTTTTGGAGTATTTAATTATGTGATCTGATTTTTAACTTTAACATGTTCAAATATAAGATGGTTATAGTTGAATTGAACAATAGTTTTAAAGGATCCCTGCTTCATTGGATTCAAAATTCGGCTCTATTTAAGATTTTGAAAAAAATCTGAAGAAATTTTTTATGCTAAATTTTCTCTAATACGTAAATTTGTGGCGACCTTTGTTTTTTAATGAATAGTGTGACTAAATATTAATTTTTTCTATTGTCTATATCTAGTTTATTAAAAATAATATTAAATTCAAGAAGTACATATTATTTTTAAAATTTATGTATAAATACGTAAAATTGTGGTAGAGGATTGCTTTAGTTTTGGCCAATACTGTGTAAGTCACATATAATTGAGCTGTTCTTTTTGAAAGTGGTATAAGTCAACTTTTTGAAAAGATTAAGTTAATGATAATTTTGATGAGCTATAGAAACCTACTCTCCTCAGTAACAATTACAATTTCAATGGAGTTTTAATTAGGTATAAAATAAACAAAAGCAGTTTTGCTGTAAAACGCAAACTCTTAAATATCTTAATGTATGAAAAAATGGGCTTATACTACTGTCAAAAAAAGCAACTCAATTATTTTTCAAAATTTCAAGAATGTTCTCTATAATTTAATTAATAAATTTCGTGCAACTGAATGCATTTTTCAAATCCATTATGCAAGCCTATTTTAAGCAGTTCGCATACACCCCTATAAGGAGTGTACTGATACGATACCACACGAACAAAAATGGGTTAATATTTAATTGTATATAAAATTTTTATTAATAAAAGTCCAATTTGTCATGCATATAATTTGAAAGGATTTTTTTGAATCCATTTCCAAAAGGACTTCAATTTTCATTTAATTGATCCGTTTATTTATTTCTAAACCGCTTTAACCTTTTTTTTGTAATAATAATTCGTTTGATAACGAACTATCAATTTAAATTTATGGCCTATGGATAAATTACAAAAAAAAAATGGCGTAAGTAATGCAAATTCCATATTATGACTGAAAATAAATATTTTTATACTCTTATATCTTTTAATATTTATTTATGGGATTATTAAAAATAAATTAACACATAACATTTTAAATTCTCTAACCTTATCTATATCAAATTATAACACTAAAATGAATAAATAAATTCTCTAAAAAAAAAAGGTAAAATGAATATTTAATATGGGTACAATTTTCAAATCTATTTGGTTATCTGTTTGTTTGTTTGTTTGTTGAGGACAGAATAACAGCTTGAGTATACAACAAACATTTTTAAAATATTATTTAATGACATGGAATTTAATTTGTCTGAATTGTGGGAATTCATGTTATGATGGAAACCGCAACAGTAGTAAAAGTTATTTGGTCATTTTTTTTTTCCAAAGTTTGATAATAAAATATAAAATTTTTGGGAAAAACAAAAATCACAACTTTAAAAAGGCACGTATGTATGACAAAAATTTAAAATGCCAAGATTCATATGGTTTCTACATCAGGCAACACAAAATGGCAAAAAAAAAATATTAAAAAAGCAGACATAAGACATTTTTAATGATCATGGTAAGATCATGGCTTCAAGATAACTTTGAAAACAGGTTCACAAGTTAAGTGGGCTAAAACAATTTGGAATTATATTAGGAGCTTTGAAAGAAATTAATTGCATAGCCTTGAATCAAATATACCAAAACAACATAATACAGTTGGGTTTCGAAAACTCATTAAGTTTTAGTCATCTCCAAAAATTTGTCCTGGCTTTTAGTAATATTGCTTGTAATTTCTTGAAAGAAAAGATTTGTATAGGAATTTGCCTTTGCATTATCGTTTTAGATAGTAAGACGTAACTAATAGTATTTCTTTTCGAAAATTGCAGCGTTTTGGATGTAAAAGTATGTGAAAATAATTAACAAAGTTAATGCAAGTATTTGAATGTATGCATAGAATGTGGTGTAGTAATACAAGGAAATTTTTGATTTCCACCTTTTATCAAGAACTACTGCTATATTTACCAAGAAAATCGAAATCGTCTCCCAAATTTTATATTCTTTGTAATATTAATAATATTTCGCGCAGTATTGGTAATAATTTTTGGTGACTTTAGTAGCAATATTATGAATGTAAATTGTAATTCATAATTCCTTTTATAAAACTATCATATTGTTTTGATGCCATAATGATAACACTGTTTGGAAATAAAAAGTGAAATTGTATAAATAAAAGACAAAAAAAAGAAAAAGAAAATCAAGAATAAAAATTTTAAAGTTTTTAACCTCATTCTAAATTTGGAATTGTGAATCCTTTTGCATTTTTCATTTTTATTTTTCCCATTTTAAATCTACAGCACGTACAAATTTTTCATTTTATGTCAGACAATGGATTAAAATAAATGGTATAGAACAAGTGGAATATGAAGTATCATAAAAAATTATAATTTATAATAATTTTAAAACGAATATACACTCTGAAGAAGTGTCATACAGCTGGTTGTTTACTTATTTCATTCACCACTTTACAAAATAAAATAAAAAAAGTTTTTGGGGTTAAAGTTTTATCATTTATTAATTGCAATGTGTGGGTGAATATATTATTTCTAAAGTAATATTATTGATATTTTCGCAAAAAGGATTTTTTAAAAGATTTCGGAAATTTTTATGTTGTCGAATAAAATTACGGTTGAAATCATTGTATTGAAAATTGTATATGACTGCTTCTCTTAGTTACCAAGACGAAAACTTGCATTTAATCTGTTAAATTGATTGTGGCAAAAGGGGCAAATTTTTGTTAATCATGCTTAATTTATTATATGACTCTTTATATATTATTTGAAATTATTCTATTGAAATTCAAACTTAAAACCCACTTGACTTTGTAGATTTAATTAATAGTTTCAGAAGTAACAGTAGAGTATGAGTATCAAATTTGTGTATAAACAGTATAGGAATTGAACTTTTCTAGGAAGAAATTTTAAGGGTAGCGAAAGAAATTTTTACAAACACAAATAAATTTTTTTTAATTGTGATAGTCGGTTTGTTTGGTTTTAATCTTTGCTGTGGTTGTAGTTTTACTAAAATTTTCATATTTATTTTATTGAAGCAAAATTAAAGATGAAGAATCCTCTTATAAAATAAGATATGTAATAATGATGGATTTATTATTTTAGGGTCAAATAGATCGTATAAAATTATGAGATTTTATGTTTATAAAGGTTGTGAGAAAAATATAAAGAGTCATTGTACGAGAATACTATACGAGTACCATCAAAATATTTATCAACTACTTATATAATATTATTACGTACGTCTTACAATAACAATGGCAAATCAATTCAAATTGATAGTGTTTATGAATCCATAATCGTTTTGTTAAGAATGTTAAAATTAATTATTCACTTTTATAGAATTAAGAAAACAATTATATATGCAATTAGAATAAAATTTTAAGAATAATGACAAGAGCACTTGAAGGGACATATAACAGGTTTTTCAATAAAATGAGAATATTTTGAAAGTATTGTTTAATTTTGACATCGGGAATAATACGTCAATCATTATTGTCCATGTAATTTTACATCTGTTGGAATTAACTGTTATAATGTTTAACAGAATTAACTGTTGGAATAATATTAACATACATTAAATGCTATAATAACAGAATAATAAATTAATAGAATTAACAGTTGGAATAATTAAATTGGGATAATAATTAACTGTTCGAGCAATGATTAACAGGAGCACTAAATTTTTGGTAACCAATGATTTAATCACGATAGCTGTAGTATGTGTCGGACAATATCGAAAGGTTAAGTTTATGTTGGCTGATCATAAAACTTAATTAGAAAATTTAAAAACTGAAGGAATCAGCTCTACTTTTAAAAACAGTCGTAAATTATATTGTATAAATGACAACAAATTTTTGAAACTAAATAATGCCTTTAAAATTTACTCAAAATAATTAAAATTTTAAATAACATTGATTCCCCCATCTTCACTTTATAATAATTATAGTTTTTTAATTGCATTTTGAGGTTGTGTCAGTTTCTGATTATTGGCAGCATAATTTTCATGTTGAGAATATGAGATTAGATCTTTTAAGATTCTTTACAAGAAAGTGATCAGCTTTTTGCAGTGTTGTCACAAAAACCCACAACACTTTCAGATCTACGCAAGATCTCCCAACATGAACTCAACTAAATTCTTCATTTTAACGTTTGTGTTTAGTTTAAAAGTTGTCGCATTTACAATAATAAAGTTTTTTTCGGAAATTGTTCTGACAATATTGACTTCTTTTAGTCGATTTCAAACAGAAACATTTCTTTGTTTTATTATGTAATAATAAAACGCATCAAATCGACATTACTAACTTATTGAATTTTGTCATTTTTTAACAATTTCAGTAATATTTTACATACAAAATTTCTAGTTGAGATTACAATAGTTCTGACACAAAATCCTTTAATATAAAAATTTATTTTTGATTTTCCATCTTGAATTTTGAATTTGTTTTAAAATTTTTTCTTTATTGTAACAAGAATAATGGTTATTTTGTATTATGCAATTTTTCCCTTTTTTTCTAAAATAAATATTCAAGACAGAACCACTTAACCGTATTCTAACTAAAGTACTACACAGATGATGATGGCAGCACTTTCCACTTTCC